GGTCAGAGGGCAAAGAATCTCCATGTGTAAGACAAAAAGAGTTCAAATTATTTTTTTCTGCTTCTCTCTACTTCGTGCCATGGCTTTCTAGTGTTCTTCAACATATTTATACCTTTGAAACTCTTTGTGCCATTTTAGTAAGTTTTTTATGATTTATGTTTCCAGTTAGTGTACTTTTTATAGTTAATCCGGTTTGATAGGCCCAACAAGAGTCTTTGCTAGATGGGCTGGCTGTGTATATCCAACTTTTTATTCAGAAAAGTATTTTAAGTTATTGTCATACTAAATTGCTTGGTATGTATTTCTACTTTCTTACCGTTCACTAACTTCTCATTCCTCTCAATTCACTGTCTATTACATTTTTTTTCCAGGTTTACTGAGATATAATTGACACATAACATTGTATAAGTTTAGGGTGTATAGTGCATTGATTTGATCATTACATATTGCAAAATGATTACCACCATAGTGTTAGCTAACATATGCATCCTGATGCATAATTACCATTTCTTTTTTGTGGTGAGAACATTCAGGATCTAGCAACGTTCAAGTATGTAATACAGTATTATTAGCTGTAATCACCATGCTGTACATTAGATCCCCAGACTTTGTTAATCTTGTAACTGGAAGTTTATACCCTTTGACAAATATCTCCCCATTTCCCCACCCTCCAGCCCCTGGTAACCCTGAGTTTGGGTTTTTTAGATTCCACATATAAGTGCTGTCATACAGTATTTGTCTTTCTCTTTTTTTCACTTAGCATAATGCCCTCAAGGTTCATCCATGTTGTCACAAATAGAAGGATTCCATCTTTTTCATGGCTGAATAATATTCCTTGGTGTGTGTGTGTGTGTGTGTGTGTGTGTGTGTGTGTGTGTGTGCGTGCGCCCACGCACGCCTGGGTGGGTGTGTGTACACATCTTTATCCATTCATCATTGATGGACACTTGAGTTGTTTACATATCTTGGCTATTGTGAATAATGATGCAATGAATATTGGAGTGTAGATATCTCTGTTAGATTCTGATTTCAATTCCTTTGGATATAGACTTAGAAGTACGATTGCTGGATCATATGGTAGTTGGTAGTTTTAATTTTTTGAGGAATCACATACTGTTTTCCATGGTGGTTGTAGCAATTTACATTCCCACCTACTGCACACAGGGTTTTCATTTCTCCACATCCTCATCAACACTTGTTCTCTCGTCTTCTTGATGATAGCTATGTAACAGGTGTGAGGTGATACCTCATTGTGGTTTTCATTTGCATTTTCCTGATGATTAGAGATGTGGAGCACCTTTTCTTGTACCTGTTGGCCATTTGTATGTCTTCCTTGGAATTCCTTGTATTTAGAGAGAAGTGTATTCTCATTTTAAATGTCAAGGCCAATGGTTTGCTCTTGGGTTGCCATGAGGGCATCTGATAGCTTGGATTTTGCCTCTGGGCCAGAATCATTAGTCTTCTCTTATGTGTAATTACTTTTCCAACTCAGTCTCCTTTCTGACAAGAACGAGGAGTCTTCATTAAAACTACTAATTACAGATATTAAAGAATGAAGCAGACAGTCCTCCAAAGAGCAATCTGTAAAGGAGAGCAGTACCTGCATAAAATGGAGGCTCTTATTAATCCATAAAACTATTAATCACTGTGTCATATAAACCTGATTTTATCCTCAGGCTTTATTAGAATGCCTCTTTCACTTACCTTGTCTCCTTATGGGACAGCTCCAGCACTTTAGGTTTGCATCAAAAGCTATTCTGGCCTTTTGTCCTCAGTTTTCTGTCCACTTAAAGCAAAGTGCCCTTTAGTGTTTCATAGCTGCTTTCTATGGAACTGCTACGTAAGGGATTACTCTGCTAACTGACTTCCCTCACAGTTACCAGATTATTTCCGATAACTGAAATAATCCCTCAGATTTCATAGAATTTTAGAATTTGAGAATCTTTAGTTTTAAGTAGCCTTAAAGGTTCAAGCCCTGACTTTGAGAGCTTAGAGAATTCTTTTTGTTTTTGTTGTTCTTGTTACTGATTTAGAGAGATGTGATTTAAATGATTTTTCTGGAATCTGTGCCTTCTCTTTACAAATTATAAAAAGGTTTTTCACCTGTTTTATTGAACTCCAAGCACTTCCTCATTCCATGTGAACAATACCTTATTGAGATCTTGTGTATGTTGAAATTCGAATATAATCTGTCCCTTTGTAGCCACCATCTCTGTAGCTAGCTCTAGTGTAGAAATGAGATTTACAAAAAGCTACTTTGTTCAGACTGGAAATTTTATCAAGTTCAGGACTTCATAGAACAAACCATTTTAGTACACATCCAAATTGAGAATTTGACTTGGTTTTAAAACAAAAAATGTAAAGTGCTTTCATGTGTGGTCATATGTAACATTATATGCTTTTATACAATGTCTGTTTTTTCCCCTTTGTTTCCTGCATTTGTATGACAGCTTTTTGACTTAACCTTGAAAATACTAGTTTCTGGAACCTCTATAGAAACTCCCTCTGTTTCCAAAATTAGAATGGCATTTCTCTCCCAATTTGGCTCTATAGAGTCTGTAGCTTTAAAAAAAAAAAAAGAGGGAAGGAAAATGCTAGATTTCTCTGTAGTCCTTTATATATGTAACCTCCCTAGGAATGTGCCTTCTTTGTTACTGATAGTGACCATTGTGTGCCTTTTATACTGAAAATAGGTAGCTCTTGGTAGATAATACCAGTGGTGACTGTGACAGCTCCTAGCTATGTAGATATTCAGACAGTGTGTCTTGATGATACTGATTTATATCGAGTTGGGAAACTCTGCAGGAGTGAACCTGTATCTAGGATCCAGGAACAATTACTTTGGAGAGAAAACCCCAGTGAGAGCTGTTGGCTTGGTCACTGAGCAGGACAGGCTCAAGTGCTGCTTTCCCTCATGATGTCAGATTGCTATTGGCTGTGGGAGAGAAAAAGAAGGTAGCATTTTGCTCTGAAATAGGCTAATTAGGGAGAATACAAGCTCCCTTCTAGGGTTCCCATGGTGTGGTCACCAAATGGGGATATCTTAAGAACTGCGGCTGGACAGGAGGGAGGGCCTGCTGAGGTGTGGTGGGCTAAGATCCAGGTGCTGAACTGAACTCCCCCAGTATTCTCAGCAAGAGTCCCCAGAGTGTGTCATGCTAGCTTATTCTCTTTATGGTGAGAGATTTGTCTTATTCCCCAGGCCTGGGATCAGGTTCTCTGCATCTGACCAAATCAGCAATTAGATGCCCAAGAGTGACCAAAAAAATAATAACTCAGTTTAACAAGTGCACCATAGCTGAGGCATCCAAATGAGAGAGAGCCTGCGCCTTCCAAGTTGTCCCCCCGGGAGGCTGTGTACGTCTTCCAGCAATGCTGCCATTTTTCTTTCAACTGTACATTTAAAGTCTACCACATATGCTGTTATCCTGTTGACAGATCTTAATCTTTAGAAGGATGAAGTAGCTAAGTAAATATTTAGAAATAGCGAAAAGTCATTCTGGGTCCTGCCTGGCAGATGGTATAGATGAGCGAGTAATCAGATGGCCAGTTCCATTTTGGGCTGAAAATCAGATCTGATATTTTCACTTGGTTTATCTTCAGGTTATTAAAACAGTTTTGAAGACATATTTCAAAACTATTTTAAATAAGAGAAGGATCAGTGAAGTAAGTACATTGTTTCTAGATGTGGCTGCCTCGGTGATCCACTTACTGAAATATATCCATTCTGGTTAAGTGTTTTGTGAAGTCTTATTATCCTCCAGTTTTTTTAAGAAATTAATTTAATTAATTAATTTATTTTTGGTTGAGTTGGGTCTTCGTTGCTGCCCACGGGCTTTCTCTAGTTGCAGTGAGCGGGGGCTACTCTTCGTTGCGGTGCGTGGGCTTCTTCTTGCGGTGGCTTCTCTTGCTGCGGAGCACGGGCTCTAGGCGTGTGGGCTTCAGTAGTTGTGGCTCACAGGCTCTACAGCGCAGGCTCAGTAGTTGTGGCGCATGGGCTTAGTTGCTTTGTGGCATGTGGGATCTTCCTGGACCAGGGATTGACCCCGTGACCCCTGCATTGGCAGGCGGATTCTTAACCACTGCGCCACCAGGGAAGTCTGTATCCTCTAGTTTTAAGACCATTAAATTATTCAACAATAGCACGAATCACCATTTGAAGCTTACTATGGTCAGAGAGTACCCAGTACAATTGAAACAGTTCAGAAATAGAGAGCTACAAGATCAAGTGGGTTACGAGAAGAACTGTATTAGAGTTGCTTTGCAAGTTCACCTTATACTAGGCTCTCAGTTCTGTAAAAAGGGAATGATAGTAATCAAGTCATGTTGTCCACGTCATAGAATCATTGTGAGGCTTTTAAGGGGGGTATGGAGCATAAATCACAGTGCCTTGTGTACGGTAGTGTTCAGTAAATGTTAGCCATTTTTATTATACTATTATGACATGACAGGTTGCCTGGGAGAGAGGAAGAATGGAGAAATAGAGGGATGGGGTGCCGTGTGGGAAAGGAAAAAGTACTAATAGTTAAATAAAACTGGCCTTTCTTTGGATTTTAAATTTCTTCAAACCAGTTATATTGACTTTATTTTTTAAATTTCTATTTATTTATTTATTTGGCCACACGCGCAGCATGGGGGATTTTACTTTCCCTACCAGGGATTGAACCTGTGCCCCCTGCAGTGGAAGCACGGAGTCTTAACCACTGGACCGCCAGGGAAGTCCCTATATTTACTTTAACTTAGATACATGTCTTGAATGACATGAGCAATATTTTAATTTTCAACTGTTCCTAAAATTTTTAGTTCTTTATTGAGATTCTGGTTGTATTCTAAACTAAAAAACAAAACCACGAACCAATAACCTTAACATCCACAAGATATGGTGTTGAGGATTTGGATATCAAGTGTACAAACCAGTTGTATTATGTTCCCAGATAACATAGTTTTGTACATTATAAAATGCAAATCTTATCACTTGTATTATATTGCTTTTTAAACAGATGAAGATGAAGATGGTGATCGAATTACAGTGAGAAGTGATGAAGAAATGAAGGCAATGCTGTCATATGTAAGTATATTACAAATAAGGACTATTTTTAAAACGTTAATGTAATTGAGGATGCTGTTTCTTGGCATAGTGAAGATATAAAAGTAAGTCACAGTTGCTATAACATTTTTCTGTATAATATATAAGATTTTTAAAGATTTCCTTACGTGAAAGTTAAGGGCATTCTTTTCAAAAGACACTTACTGATCATATCATGAACATTAAGAATAATGCATCTTAATGACTTTTGCATTAGGTATGGTGCAGACTAAATGGACTATCAATTTCCTGTATTTTTTATGCAGTACTTAAAGTAACGGCTCATTAAAAACGAACCCCTGGGCTCTAAAAAATTTTTCAAAATCTACTTTCAACTGGAGATATCTTTCACCCTTACAAACAGACCATAGTTATAATGTAGCTGCAGGCTTAATATGGATACATGATTTAAGATGTACTCTCAGTTATTTTATGCACTAACCACCCCACCCCAAAATGAACTGCAGGGTTACTTACTGAATCTAAGTGATTTGAATATATCCCGAAATGAGTTTTCTTTTGTGTTTCAAATTTCAGTGAAAATTTGCATTAACATTTGTCTCAGGACTGAAGTAGATAAACAGGAAAAAAGGATACATTTCTAAAACTTTAATACTAACCTTGAATAATTCAGTGACAATGAAGAGACATAGCTTCCCTGAGCCCTGATTTGTTCTTTTCTCTTATTTTTATTTTATTTTCTCTTGTTCATTTTATTTTATTTTTTCTGAGTTTGCGGTCTGTGTACGAAACCTTCTCTAGTGGTCTGGCGAAAAGAGCATTGGACTGGAAGTAAGGAGACCACTGCTCTCCTCTGGCTTCCTGGCCTTAGGCAAAACACTTAACCTTTCTGTGCTGTAGTTGCCTCATCTGTCACTTGTGGATAATAATACTTGTCCTTTCTACTGCACAGGGTCATTGTAATGACCAAATGGGATAATAGATGTGAAAGCCCTTTGAAAACTTAAAAGTTCTATACAAATGCAAAGTGATATTATGGTGGAAATGATGGAATCAGGGCCCTTGCTTTTCAGTGAGACTCTGATCTCAGCCAGTGGTTAGGTTGTAGGTTTTTGATAGACCTCAACTTTAACCAGGATATTTTTTCGTCGTGATGAAAGCTGTGAAATATCTGTATGGGTTTCCGCCAATAGTTTTAATTTAGGGTAGGAGGAAAGAGAACAAGAAGGATGGCATGATTAACAGAGCGTTGCATTCAGACGAGCACAGAGTGGGAAAAGTCAGTTTCCCATTTACTTCTCATTAACTTATTTGAGAGTCTTTGTGCCCTGAGAATTTAGAGCAGGGCTCATCAGTACCTTGAAAGGCAGAGTAGGATTGCTGCTGAAAGGTCTAGCACAGTAATAATAGATTGGCTAACTCTCCTGAGAATGTGACATGCTTATTTTTATTTTTATTTTATTTATTTATTGTTTTGCGGTACGTGGGCCTCTCACTGTTGCGGTCTTTCCCGTTGCGGAGCACAGGCTCCGGACGCACAGGCTCAGCGGCCATGGCTCACAGGCCCAGCCACTCTGCGGCACGTGGGATCTTCCCGGACACGGGCACGAGCCCGTGTCCCCTGCATCGGCAGGTGGACTCTCAACCAGTGCGCCACCAGGGAAGCCCTGGCCTTTATTTTTTAGGTTCAGTTTGGCTCTGAAAAATTTTGATTCCAGGATTTGGGTGGTGGGATAGGGAAGATACTGACAGATGACCACGTATTTACTGTTAAAAAAAAAAAAAGCTATGTTTTTCATGTGGAATTCAATAAATTTGTAGTCACCTTAGTATTTCTTTAAAAACCATATGGGGAAAGCAAAACTAGGCATACTTTTACCATAAATCCTTTACACATTCTTTTAAAAAAACTACAGTGTCTGAGTTGACACTTGCAGAATTACTTTTTTTTTCCCCCTTGGATTTAAGCATTTTATGGCTTTGGACCAACAGAAGCATAAGTTTTTATCAGTAATTTAAATAGATTTTTGTATTAGACCTGAAAATGTTGCCTTTTTAATTGAAAACTTATCAATTATTTAAATTGCTAGCAGCCTTAAGCTGTTAATTTTATGTGTGCCATAATAATGGCATACAGTGGATTTTGATACATGTGACACATGGACTGTCTCATTGTGGTAAGGATTTGTCATGACAATATGTTGTTGTGTGCTGTTAAATAATAACCAACATAGTAAACCAAAGTCTGTTGTCACACATTAGTACCATTTTATGTAAGTTATTTAGAAGTTGTATTCTTTTCATTAGATATATTTTTAAGAGATAATGAGAAGAAAACAAAGTTATAATAAATTGTCTTTTAAGAAAATGTAAAGTAATTTGGTCTTCAAGTAGATATTTAATGTATTGAGAGAATTCAGCAGCCAAGTGTTATTACAGCACCATTGTGATCGCTCTCTGCGTTTTGTTATGAGTTTGTGTTAATCAATACAATCTGTTTTTATAGCGTAGTTTCTTGTAAGTTACGGTGTTAGAATATTCTACTTCTGGGATCATGGCTTGTCCTCTGACGCTATTGTATCTTTTTAATTTCTCCATAAAGTATTTTTTTAATTAGAATTTGAAATGCTTTACTAGGAAAAAAATACAGCCAAGCTACATATCCTGAAAACTAAATTCCTGATCATTGCTAATTATTTAAAGGATTCTGTTAAATATTCCCTTAAAGTAGTTTAAATTTTTTTGTTGTTCTTGTCTTCTCCTCTCATTTTCCAGAAAGACTGAATAGTATACTGCTTTTCTCCTTCCATCTTTTTGTAATTGTTGTCTGGTAGTGCTGGCCTCATTTCCTTATAGCATCAAGCACAGCAGTGCTGGGCCTTATTTATTGATTCATCATAAGCTTTATTTATCACTGAGACCCAGTTATAGGAGGAGGTTATTTTTATGTTAACCTCTGCTTTTAGGTGACCTTTCATCAAGAAACTCAGCAGTACATCTTGCTTTTGTAAATGGACTCCTATTTGTTTTTGCTAAATCCTGTGGCTAGTAAAGGATTTATTACACCTAGTTCTCTCAATACTGAGAGGCTTATATGAGTAGAGCACAGTATTAATAAGAATAAGTTTCTTCATTTTGCCGGTTCTCTCTCTTTGTACGGTTTCTCCACATTGCCGGAAGAGTATGGGATGAGTTTAACTGTAATGCCTCCCATTATGGCAGGGACCTTGTGTTTTATTGGAGTGTAAGTATTCCCTTTGGTATACTTGACGGTAGTGTACCTTGTTAGATGTTGGGTACCATGAGGGAAAATACTTTTTGACCTCTGTAGCACCTTGTAAATTGGGATATGATTGGCTTTATCCTAGCATGCATAACTTGGAGCCTGCCTCAAAAATCATAGTTGCTCAAGGAGAGTTGGAAGGGAACATTAGAGGTCTTGTCCAGCTGTCTCATTTTACAGATAAGGAATCTGAGGCTCAACGAGCTCAGATTCAGTTTGAGGTCACATTGCTAATGAATGGGAAGGCCTGGACACAGACCTAGGTCTTGGACGTCCAGTCTTCCCTCCTGGTGGTTTTAAGTGATGTTTTTGTTTTGGCATTTATTGAGATCCTGCCGAAGAAGCTTTGCAAATGCTACTGTTTTCCTGGTAGCAAAAAATAATGCTATTTACTAGAATGTTAGTGTACCTGAGTCTGAAAAGGAATACAAACAAATACTTTGTGGGCTTTTGAAGTTTTCAAGATTTTGTCCTTCCTACAAGGCTGAATTTTACCACAGAATTTGTTGTCCACTTAGTTGTTGAACATTTAATAGCCTCAGGGCCTTTACTATTAGGAAGTTTTCTTTAAAGAACAGAGATTGGAACCTCATTTTCCGCATGGTGCTTTTAAACATGCTCCATATTAAGTTGGTCCTACTTTGAACTTAACTTTGTATGTGGCATAGTCATCTCGGTCTTCAGTGAGTGGATAGTCCCCTAATTCAACGCGATCCATCTAAACAAGTGATAATACTCGATACTCTCCTGGCAGGGTGGAGAAACAGTGAAAAGAGTGAGACAGGAAAACTGAATGAAATAAATAAATAGTTGTGGAAATTATTCATTTTTTTTTTTTTTTACTCAAATAGTGACATGCTCTAAGCTGTAAGTAAAGTTTTTGTTCTGTTTTCTCATCCTAGTCAAAGAATGAAACTTTTTTTCAGAGGCAGATTATTTTAACTCTCTTCTCTGTGTTGTCTGGGTCATATGGATGCCCTTGAAATAGTGATAAGAATGTAGTAGCCCCTTATTTAGCCTCTCTTGTGAAATATCTTGGGACATCTTTGCTAGCAAGAAGCAGAAGCAGACTGAAATTTGCGTCAGTTTATTATGCAGCTCATGGAAGCAAACGAAGAGACAGCACAAGCAGACCTCAGCCAGGTGGCATCAGGGCATTCTGGGTGCTTTGAACCACCAGTATTTTGTCATTAACATGGCTGTGCTCCCAGTTCAGTTCCGTCTCGGGAGGGCTCAGTGTGGACTACAGGTTGATTCCTCTGGGGTCCTATGTTGAGGCAGCTGGCATGAGGGGGCAGAAAAATGTAGGACATCAATTAGCCTCTCGGCGGCTGTGGTAGGGGCTTCTCTTCCGGAGAGAGGTGGGCTGCGAGGGAATGATGGACCTCTAGCAGTAGGATTGCTGTGGGGCATAACCAAGGTGTTCGGCTCTTGTTGGCAGCTCCTAATGAACCTGTTTTCTTAGGGCCAGTTTTACTGGAAACAGGAGGGGTATTTTCTATGTATACCTGAAAGATGAATATAAATTTGCTATAATACAGTAAAGTTAGAGGAATTCAGTAAATTATCAACCTAGGAATATAATATGTCCAAAAAGGTGTAAATTGAGGTAATTGGAAATTTCAAAACAATTTGTTTCTCTCTTAATATATGTTTCTCTGTTACATATATGTTCTTTACTCATTCCTCACTACGTTTTCAATTATTTTTTAACAGCATTTGAGCAGTAGGCCGAATC